TCTCTTTCATCATTGAGTTTTTTCTGTGATATATTTTCAGTTTTATCTTCTAAATTTTCTGTTAAATTTTTATTCCTGGGCTGGGGATGTGGCTCACGTGGCAGCGCGCTCGCCTGGCATGCTGGGGCGCTGTGTTCGATCCTCAACACCACATAAAGATAAAAAAGAAAAATACTGTGTCCACCTAAAAAAACCTAAAAAATAAATATTTTTTAAAAAATTTATTACTACTATTACATATTTGATTTCAAATATCATTCTTTTTTTTTAGTTGTAGATAGACATAATACATTTATTTTATTTATTTATTTTTATGTGGTGCTGAGAATTGAGCCCAGTGCCTCATACATGCTAGGCATGTGCTCTACCACTGAGCCACAACCCCAGACCCCAACATCTCATTCTCGTTCTTTGACTATTCAATTAAAAAAAATCTTATTCAAATTTAATAGATGTACTGTTGTCTAGTGTCTCACTGACAACATTGATAGTAGTGTTTAGTGTTGCTATACATTTCCTGTTTCCTTTATTGTCTCTGTTTCCTCTGAGTTCCTTGTTTCCTTTTGCTTCCATGATCTCTCTTCTTTGCTAGAGGCTTTCCTCTGACATCTGGTGACCCCTGGCACCCATTCTCATTTGAGAATGAGACCCATTGACGAAGCCCATGGAAGAGCAAAGATATGCTGAAGGCAGAAAAAAAAAAGGAGCAAAATGAAAACAATATTGAACTTACAAGTTTATAGGACTTTGTTCTGGAAGTGAACATCTACAAGTTTGATCCTGAAGAGTTGGGGTAAGACAAAATGTTTTACATAAATAAATTCACAATTTTTATATTTTGTTCAAAAAACAAAGAAGTAAAAGCAACATGAAGATCATTTAGACATGCAAAAACTAAGTTTAATACTCTCAGACTTTCACCAAAAGAATTATTACAAGATGTGTCTAGCTGGAAGCAAAGTAAATCTAAAAATGACAAACAGACTTGGAAAGAACATGCCAGTAGATATAGTAGCTACTGACCATAAAAATCAGAAAACATTTTATTATTTCTTCCTTAAATGATTTTATTGAGGTATAATTTACACATCATACAACTCACCCTCAGTCCAGTGAGTAGCTGTACAGTCGTCCCACAGCCTGGTTTTAGAGCTCTTGGCACCATAAAATTTCCCTCCTGGCTGTGTGCAGTGATCCCTGCTGGCATTCTAAGCCACAGAAAACACGGATCTGCTCATTGTTTCTACGGCTTTACCTTTTCTAGAAACCTCATATAAGTAGAACCAGACAACATGCGTTCTTTCTTGGCGGGCTTCTTTCATTATATAATATTTAATTAATCACATAATATATAAAGGTTTGTCAGTGTTAGTATGAGCCTCACCGTTTCATTTGCATTGAACATCCTCATCTTAGTGTATGGTTAAAATGCCTCTGTGGATTTTCAAGGAGCTCTATTGAGTTGTAGTTAACATAGCACACAGTTCCTGCACAATATTTCAGGGGACTGAAGTAGCTCAATGGTTAAGTGACTATTCAGTGTTCAGGAGGCCCTGGGTTCTATCCCCAGCACTGTAATTAAGTAAGTAAATAAATAAATGTAATAAATAATAAAAAATAAAGTGTTTTTTTCATTTCTTTTTATGGCTGAATTATATTCTACTGATGGATATATCACCTTTTAAAAGCCCATTCATCAGTTGGTGGACATTTGGGGTATTCCATATTTTTTTCTATTATAAATGACACTGCTAACTCTTTGTGAGGACACATGTTTCACCTCTCTTGAATATGTACGTACGAGTAGAAGTAATGGGCCAATTCTCTGTGTATTTACTCATTTGAGGAATTGCCAGACTGTTTTCCAAAGTGGCTTCACTATTTTACCTCCTTACCAGCAATGCATGAAGGTTCCAAGTTAGTCACAGTCTTACTATTTCCTATTATTATTTATTATCTGTCTTTTTAAAAATTATACTCATCCAGTAGGTATAAGGTGGCATCTCATTGTGTTTTTGATTTGCATTTCCTGGTGACATGAGCTTGTTGACTACTTGTGTCTCTTTGGAGAAATGAATATTCAGATCTTTTCCCCTTTTAAAAATTAGGTTGTCTTTTTATTTTTGAGTTGTAAGAGTTTTCATATATTCTAGATAGAAGTCCTTCATAAGATATGTGATTTGACGGGCTGGGACTATAGTTCAGTGGTAGAGTGCTTGCCTAACATGCATGAGGCACTGGGTTCGATTCTTAGCACCACATAAACAATAAATAAATAAACAATTAAAATAAAGGCATTCTGTCCATCTACAACTACAAAAAAGTTTAAGAAAAAAGATATGTGATTTGAAAAATATTTCTTTCATTCTGTAGGTTGTCTTTTCACTTTCTTTTTTTTCTTAGGTACCACGGATTGAACATAGGGATACTTAACATATCCCTAGCTCTTTAATTTTTTTTTTAAGTTTGAAACAGGGTCTCCCTGAGTTGCTTAGGGCCTCACTAAGTTTCTGAGACTGGCTTTGAATTTGCAGCCTCCAGAGAGAGAGTCTGGCATCACAGGCATGAGCCACCACACCCTCATTTTACTTTCCTGTTGATGCTCTTTGAAGCATATACGTTTTTATTTCAATAAAGTTCAAATTATCTATTTTTTTCTTTTGTGCTAATGTTTTTTGTTATCCATCCTCTGCTGACTTTTAGGTTCATTTTTTGAGGTGTGTGTGTGTGTGTGTGTGTGTGTGTGTGTGTGTTCATTCTAGGGATCTAATAATTTATTTCAGTTGAATACTGACTAAATTCTACTGAAATATGACAGATTTGCTACAATATAGGTCCATACCCACCTTGTGCTATTATTTTTTGCATGCATATAAAATCTACGTGTTATAAACCCAGCATTATTAGGGGTAAAGAGGAACTGTACCTAACAACTCAATTACAAATTATGAAGCTAAAAGAATTATAAGAAGACACAAACAAATCCACAAACATGTAATTTTTTTTTTTTTTTTTTTGTGATAGTGCTGGGATCCAACCTAGGGCCTCATAAGTTCTAAGAACATGCTTCTACTGAACTGCACTGCTAGCCAAGATTTTTTTTTTCTCTTTTGCAGTACTGGCAATTGAACGCAGGGGTGCACTAACACTGAGATACATCCCCAGCCCTTCCTTTTATTGAGATGAGTTCTCACTAAATTGCCAGACTGACCTTAAATTTGCAATCTTCCTGGCTCAGCCTCTGAGTCAGTGGAATTACAGATGTGTGCTCCAGAGACAGGCCAAGACTGACATATTTCTCCCCCACCCCCTTGTACTGGGGATTGAACCCAGAGGGTCTTAACCGCTAAGTCACATTCCCAGCACTTTCTATTTTGAGACAGGGTCTCGATAAATTGCTCAGGTCATCACTAAATTGCCAAGATCAGCCTCAAACCTGTGATCCTCCTGCCTCAGCTTCAGGAGTCACTAGGATTATAGGTGTGAGCCACCGCACCTAGCTGACATATTTATTTCTTTTTAAAAAAATTATTATTTGTTTATTCATTTACTTATTTTTATGTGATGCTAAGGATCGAACCCAGTGCCTCACACGTGCTGGGCAGGCACCCTGCCACTGAGTTACAGCCCCAGCCCCCTGGCTGACATATGTCTAGTAGAGCTATATTTAAACAAACAAATAAAAAAAAGCAAAAAAGATTAAAATTTTACAAGACTGAGCAATTAAATTTAATAAGTGAACTTGATTTAGACATTCTTTTGAGATAACAGGATGTTTACAAAAGATTGCCTCAATTATATTTTCAAAGCAGTCTCCACAGATTTCTAAGAACCAAGATTTTAAGATCAGGCAACATTTTACTAATCATGCTGAAATTAATTAGGAATACATATTTCTAAACCACATATGTATTATCACAAGCTTTAAAAATAATCTCTTGAAAATGTATGAGTTTAAGAGGCAATCATTGGAAATTCCATAGTATTTAGAATTAAATGACTATGAAAGCAGTATCTATAACCTTATTTCCTTGAAAGCAGCATATGGAATTGTTTGAGTGGAAAAATCAAACTGTTTTTCCTATTCCTACTGTTAATATAACACACAGTACAGAATGCTTCACTGCTGCTCACCAAAACATGCAGCGATTTCTCTCCCCTGACAATCAGTTCTCTACTGGATACCAGTGTGTGTCCTGCAGTTCAGTCCCCATTCAGTGCTACACCATTGCCTCCACTTCATATGCCAGTCACAAGTCCCCGACTGTGCTCTGACCAACTAGCTAAACATGGGGGTTACCATGACACCCCTCGCCTCAATTAGGTTCAGTTAATTCATTAGAGCAGCTTTCAGATCTCAGAGAAATACCACTCACGTTTACTCACTTATTATAAAGGATAATACACAGGATGCAGGTGAGTAGTCATATGGAAGATTTGCATAAGGAAAAAGGTGAGGAGCCTCCATGCCTTCTCAGGAGGGCCACCCTCTGGGGATCTCCATGTGTTCCACAATCTGGAGGTCCCTCCAGTACCATTCAGGGTCCTGAGGAAGGCCTGCTGGCATAGGCCTGGTGGCATGTTAACTCAGCCTTTATTCTACCTCCCCTCCTTGGAGGATGAGGAGAGAGGCAAAAAGCTCCAAGCCTCCAGTCCTTCTGGCTTGTCCTTCTGGCGACCAGCTCCCATCAGGAGCTCCACAAGAGTCACTTCATTAGAACAAAAGATGCTCCTGTCACCCAGGGAGTTCCAAGGGATTGGGAACTCAGTGGCAGGAATCAGGGGCAGAGACCAAACATATAATCTTCCATTATTTCATAGTATCATAGTAAAATGTATTTCTTCCTCCTCCTCCTCCTTCTTTTTTTACATGGGGCCTTGCTAAATTTCCCAGGCTTGCCTGGAACATGGCATCCTCCTGCTTCCGGAGTAGCTGGGATTACATATGTCCTCCACCTGACTAATTCGCAAAACAAAGCAAGTTTAAATGAGCCAAGCATAGTGGCACATGCCTACAATCCCAGCAGCTCAGGAGGCTGAGGCAGGAGGATTGCAAATTCAAAGTCAGCCTCAGCAATTTAAGGAGGTCCTAAACAACTTAGTGAAATCCTGCC